AAGTGTTTTTGTCAGGATGCCAGGGCCATCAGAAGCTGTGATTGCTGTAGCTAGATAATTATGCATGATCAGCATTGTTGGTCAGCCCTCAGGAACTACCCTTTGATTGCCTAACATGCTAGCAGATTAGCACATCGAGACTGATGTTTTCTGTATGAATAGACTGGAACCATGTTGGAGAAATTTTTGGAACACAGTTGACTACATTTTTAAGATTTGATTGAGCCAAAATGACCGAGTTGCTTTCTGTAATGAATCATGCAGGGTTCATGGATTGTGCGGCAGAGTGTCGGAAGCACCCCGTGCTTATTGGGAAAAGCAGTTGATTGCAACTATATCCGTGGTCCTAAGTACCTAGAGGTAAATACCATTCAAATTTCTTTAGTTCCTGATAGGACCTAAGATACTTGGCCGCCAACACCAATTGTTTGGTCTAACATGGTTTATGTAACTGTAGGTTGATGTTGATATTGGTTCTTCTACTGTTGCAAATGGAGTCTTGGGACTTGTAATTGGTGTAATTACAACATTGGTGGTTGACATGGCTTTCCTTGTACAGGTATTTGTTTTTAATGATTAGCAAGTTGCGGTGCAACTGCAGTAGTAGGGGTAGGGTGTCTAAAGGCACGGCAACAGTTTGTGAATTCCGTTATATTTGGCATCAGAGCAGAGATTTTTTACTATAGTTGGTGTAATGCTCCCTCTCTCAGCATTCAAGTGGAGGAAAAAGTAGTTGCTAAGAATATGAGAGATGGGAGTATTGCTTTGAATAGCTGTTCAGATGATATGTTTGTGTCATCTATTCTCGTGCTTTGAGATTTATGCATAAAGGCGTGGATAGAGATTTGCAACTTCCTGTTTTCTTGGCCTGTACAAGTTTTATCGTCGTCCATCTTCTCTTAATTTCCCTTTTCTGCAGGCTAATACTACAGAAGAGTTGCCAGAGAGGTCGATAGGTGCCGTCCGTGTTTCTCATATAGAGCTCTCGTCTGCTATCGTTCCTAAACTGGATCCAGATCCCTCGTGACTGACAGAAACCATTATTCTCCACTGATTTTACACAATCATTTGTTTAGATATATGCTTGCATCCCATTTCCAATTTCATTTTTTCTTGTATCATTTACTGGAATGGTCAATTGGTGTTTTCAAATGGAATTTTGTATGGAAAAAATAGTGGAAGGAAATTTGTTCAGTTAATTGTTCCAACTTCCAGTGTTGCTCCTCCATTGAAGAGGTTGAGACTCTACTCTGGACCAGAAGCGGGCCTCTTCTAGGAAACTGTGAACCACATTCGGGTCTGTATTAGGGATTATCAATTTGAGTTGAAAAAATACAAAAAAAAGTTGGGAAAATTTGAGTTTACGTCATGGCACACGTCAGGAAGCATTGCAAGGAAAAACTGCGTCCCGTGGTGAATTCATTGTATGCCAATGCCATGCACAATGCGGAGGAGAATGATATATTTATTTTTTTGTCCTTAGGCTAAAGAAAAAAAAGAAAAATGAAACTATAAGGCTTGTTTTTGGAGGCAATAAAGTTATTTCACAAGGATAAAGTTATTTCAGAAGGATTATTTGGATGTTATACGATGGAAATCTATGTTGAATTAGGGGCGTTGAAAAAAATTGAAAAATTGAATACATTGAGAAAACTAAAAAATTAATTGAAAAACTTGATTCGGTTTGGTTTTTAGTTTTGTAATGCAGGAACTAGTTAACCTAGACTAAACCAAACTGAATTGGTTAAAAAAAAATTTCTAACTACCACTGGTATAAATAAAAAATGTTGCCCGCTCTTGCCTCTTTTCGTTAACCCTAATTCCCTAATAGAGTAATAGACTATTATTGGTAGTAACTAGAGCACCTGTTATCCCCCTTCTCCCTCGTTGCTAACCCTAACTAGTGTACCCGCCCTTGTACTAGAGCACTTGCCCTCTCTTGCCTCTCTATCTTTTTCTCTCCAGTCTCTTTAGACTTAGAAAATAGAAATACAGAGATCCAAAATAGTTTGTGTTTCCATCGTTTGAAACTAGTCAAGCCTTTCAAAAACATATCGACATTTCTCTTCATCTACACAAGGTCACATTTTACTTCATAGTCTCCATTACTCCGAAACTGAATCAGTTCTATAATAGTGATTTTTAATTTTGTTTTTTTGTTCTAATTAATTAATCAATTAACTAATGACTGCTCATATTTTGCCTAGATTTATTTGTTTATCATTTATTTAATTTATTGTATTTGCTTTTTTTTTTTCAATACAAAGGTCAAAGAATAAAGATACAATTGCTGTATTGATTATAGAGTGCCTTTCTTCTAGCTTGGTCAGGACTTGGTGGGATCATTCTTGTTGAAGGCATTATGCTTGCTGCTTTATGTATGTTAAAATTTATGGGATTTTTTTAATATAGTTTGGTTATATTTGGATGAATTCAAAGAAGCTAGAAATGTCAAAATTTAGTTGAAGTCTTGGAGAATTTCGAGATTAGATTGAGTTTTAAATTTACATACCATTAAGTCAACAAAGGGCACATTCCTTGCAGTGTAAACAAGTATTTGCCAAACAAATTAATACATGAATACAAATAGTTATTGAGTGAAACATTTCTTTCAACAATTTGTACTTGCTGCCTAAAGAACCTATGATACAAGTTAAAACCTAAAATAAGTATAACATAGAAATCTAATAGGTGTTTTTTTTTTTTTACCTATAGTTGGCTGTTGCATCATTGCTATATAATATATACTGTATATTGCAACATGCATAAATATTAACATGTTTATATCTGGTAATTACAAATGGAAAATCTTCAAAATCAAAATGCTTCATCTACTAGTACTATCTCAACATCAACCAATGCCCTAACTTCAAACACTAACCTAACATCAACTACTGTAGGATCCATTATGGATAATAAAGGTAAACAACTTCAAGTCCTTATATCAAGAAAAAAATGTTGATGATAAAAAAAATCACAAATTTAGGATCATTTTACCAAACTTGATGGTGATCCTACAACCCCTAGAGCTAAATGTAATTATTGTGGAAAGGATTATGCATGTCATACTATTATTAATGAGACAAGTAATATGTGGAGTCATTTAAAAGTATGCAAAAAGCTTTCTTTTGCGGTTAATAAGAAGCAAAAAATTTTGATATTAGAACTTAATAAAGTAGGGGGTGAATTAGGAGATCAAAGTGTGGGAACTCTTAAGGCAATAGGATATGATTATAATAAATACAGACATACACTAGTAAAAATGGTTATAATTGATGAGTTGCCTTTTAATTTTATAGAAGGTAAGGGATTTAGGTTATTTTGTAGAAACTTGCAGCCTAGATTTAACATTCCTTCTCATTTCACTGTTATGAAAGATTATTTGAAACTTTATGTTGAAAAGAAGGAAAGATTGAATAGAGCTCTTAAGGATCAACGATTATACTTAACAATATATATGTGGACATCAATCCAAAACATTAACTAAATGTCCTTAACGACTCATTTTAACTAAATGTCCTTAACGACTCATTAGATTTATAATGAGTGGAATTTGCATAAAAGAATTTTGAATTTTTGTAAAGTTTCCAATCATATGGGTGAGACAATTAGTCAAGTTATTGAAAATTATTTGTTAGATTGGGGGATTGATAAACTTTTAACTATTACAGTAGACAATACAAATTCTAATAGTGTTATTATTTCATATTTAAAGAATATGATGAAAGATTGGCCAATTAATATATTGTTAAATGAACATTTGCATGCTAGATGTTGTGCACACATTGTAAACCTCATTGTGTGCGATGGTTTGAAAGAGATTAATGTTTTGATTGTTAAGATTCGAAATGCAATTAGGTTTATAAGATGTTCACCTTCTAGGCTACTTGCATTTAAGAATTATGCAGAAAAGTTGCATATAGATTGTAAAAAATTATTGTGTTTGGATATTGTAACTTGATAGAATTCAACTTATCTTATGTTAAAAGCTGTTGAAAAGGTCTTTATGAGGTTAGGTCAAAATGAACTTAGGTATATGAGTTACTTTTTGGATTGAAAAGGTCTTTATGAGGTTAGGTCAAAGTGAACTTAGGTATATGAGTTACTTTTTGGATGTTGATTTAAAGGGGAATTAAAAAAACATAGGTTCAACTAGTTTGGAAGATTGAAAAAATGTTAGAATTTTGCTGAAGTTTTTAAAGATCTTTTACATGTTACATTGAAATTTTTTGGCTTATTGCATGTCACATCAAATTCTTACTTTAAAGAATTAATTTATATGCATACAACCTTGTTGCTATTATGTAAAAGTAGAGATAATATTCTGAGTGGAATGATGATGAACATGATAGGTAAATTTGAGAAGAATTAGGGTTGTGAAGCAAATCAAGATTTTTTATTGTATGTAGCTAAGTTTTGGATCCACATCTTAAGTTGAAATATGTGAAATTTTACTTTGATGAGTTGTATGATTATAACAAAGCACAATTGTTAACAAAAAAAAAGAAGATAATTTGATGAGCTTGTATGAGTTTTTATATAAGTCTTATTTGAAAGCTGATGAAGTGGTGAATGATAATAGGCATAAACAAGATGTTAATGATGCTATTGATGATGTAGAGATGGATGTTAACACTTTAGCTCAATTCAAAAGGCACTTATAAAAGGAAGATAATGTGGAAAATAGAAATAAGGTTGAGAGGTATTTGGTTGATGGTTGTAAGGATCCTAATAATGATAAATTAGATATTTTAGGTTGGTGGAAGATTAATGCTTCAAAATATAAGATACTTTTAAAAGTTTCACAACGTGTTCTAACTATTTCTATATTTACTGTGGCTTCTAAATCAACCTTTAACATAGGCGGTCATATACTTGATCAATTTTAAAGTTCTCTATCTTTAGCAATAATTTAAGCACTTATTTATTGTCATCATTGGTTGCATTATGGTATGATTCCAACTGATAATACAATCTTGATGAATGATTTTGAAACTTATGAAAACCTTGAATCAGGTAATGTTTTTTAAAAACTTACATATTTTATTTTATTATTTATTAATTAACACATTTTTATTCTGACATGTTTAATTTTTTATTTTATAGAATTTGGTGGAAAGTTACATATAGCAATGGATGATAATTAGTTCACAAATTATGATGCATTCATTGAAAATGAATGGTAAAAATACTATTTTTTTTAATTTATATATCTTTTAATTTAAATTATTATATTATAATTCTAGATTATAAATTTCAGGAATCAAAGTACAATGTTCTTGAAGTGCTTTTTTATTGAGAAGATATACAAGTAAAGATTTTTTTTTTTGGCTTTGAGTGTTTTATGATAATATTATTTGTTGTTTTTTCTTTAAGCCCTTTAAAGGCAATAATTTGTAATTTGGACTTTAACTTATTGGTGTGTGTTTGTGAATGTGTGTTATTTAAACTTTTTGAAAGCATAAAAATATTAGGAAGGTAAAAAATATATTGAACACAAGATTGACATTGATAATTTCATATAAATGAATATTCAATGGAAAAAATACTTAATAAACATAACATTGACAATAACAATTTAATACAAATTAATATTTCATGGTAAAGAAATTAAACATGCTTTGAAATCTTTAAAGAAAATTAGACAATATCAACATTAATTGCAAGCCAATCAGAAATCCATTAAAAGCCCATCACAAAGCCCATTACAAAGCCAAAAAATAACATATAGGTTTTTTTGGTTTTGTCCAGCAAAAACCAAATCAAAACAGAACCAAAACCAGTCAGTTTGGGCTAGTTTAGGTTCAGTTTCGATTTCGGGTTTTTTTTGCTTTGATTGTTTTTTATGGGTAAAAACCGAACCAAACTGAAAATGATTACCCTTATGTTGAACAATAAAATTATCTTATTATCCTTGAAATCATTTTAAAAAAATTTGGGTTAAAAAGGGCCTTTTTGTATTCTTATCACGGTTTTTATGTTATAATTTGGTGGAATAAGGGGCATGTTTATATTTTAATAAATATAAAACATTAAAAAAAAAGATTGTCAACACGTGCATTACATGTGTTAGTCGCTTTGCGTGTATCTTAGTCTAACATCAATAAAAGACCTTTATCAGTGGGTCCTCCATCCTAGGATGACATGTGTGATGCCTGTATGACCTCTAATTTGGCGTTTACTTTTTTTTTTTTTGTCATATTGTTTTCTCTCTTCTCTTTGAATTTCATAAATGCTCCCCCAAATTTTTCAAGGTAACCCTTCAATTTTTTTCTCTTGATTTTGATTTATATTCTTTTGATGGCTATTTATTTTATTTGAAATAATCTATATAATCAGAATTTTTTTTCAATTTCATCCTCCTTCAAATTTTTAATCTATTAGATATAATCTTTATTTTTTTTACTTTGCTAAAGTTTTTAGATTGAAGTTTTTTTTTTAATTTCATCTTTAAATATTAAATTGGTTGTGGATTAATTTTTTTTGATTCTAAAGTGTAGGATTTCATAGACTGTAAGTTTTGGAGTTTAACTCTGGTTTAAAAAATTTACCAAGTTTGCTTGATGTTTTTCCTTTTTGTCAAAGCTCATGTTTTTTTATTGCTGATTGAGCCCTATCTTTTTTATTTGCTTTATATAGGATTTTCACTAATTTTAAAAATAAAATGGGTTATCTTGAGTCTTTTTATTTGTCATTTTATGTTAGATTTAACTTTTATAAAATAAATTCTTTAAATTAAATTAATTGATTGAATATAGATATGAAATGTTCACTTCATGATATTTTGTTTGGTTTGCTTTCTGTTTCGTTGCTTTTATGGCGTGTACAAACTCTTTTAATGTCATTTATGCAACCTTTTGCAGCGGTAAGACCATCTTAATGAGTTTTTTTGGATGGTGGGGTGATATCTAAGATGGAGCAACGATGAGTCTACGACAAGCTTCCTTTCTTTTCTTCTCTTTTATAACTTTGGCGAGTTCAATGCGAAGCAACATTGAGTTTTTGACGAGTTTTCTTTCTTTTCCTTTCTACTAATAACTATTTTTTTATAGTTAATTATTGTTAAATTTGTTTTTGATTAGTGTACTATTGTTATTATTTTTTTATATTATCAAATTAAATCAAGCTTATTAGATTATGTTAAGTTAATAATTTAAATTTTGAATTTCACATAGTTTTTTAAAAACATTATCGTCACCTAAATTTACTATTTTAAAATTTAAAAAATTTATCTAGCCTGCAGCATAGCATCCATCAATCTATTATTTGCTATTGGTTCGTGTTAGTCCATGTCAATAGATTTTAAGTTTGATTCGGTTCGCACCGAGGGGCTTGGCCTAGCGGTGGCGGTTCGGTTCTTATTTTCGCTGCCGAGTACTCTCTGCTTCATTGTATTTTCATGTTGCGAAGCTGTGATTATATTTAGTAATGGAATCAATGTCATTATTAAAAGTCACAAATGCCCTTGTTTGTATCAATTTGCCAGGGAAGCCTTTGTTCAAACTTCATCATGCATTTGTAAAATGTTGATTCAACCCCGAATTGGATTGCTAAATTTTTATATTATAAAATCTGTATAAAAGCATAAGAATATTTTTATTTCTTAAATGATTTTAAAATATCCTATAAAATTAATTTTTTTCCTTAAAAATTATAAAAAATGTAAGAGAATTTTCTATTTTTTATTCCATAAACATTTTCGAAGATTTCCTTGGGAAAATTATTATTTCTTAAACTTATTTGAATAATTGCCAATCATCTTACAATTTGAAGAAATTTAATCCAATTTTGTTGAATATATTAAATTTTGCAAACGTAGATTAAGATTTATAAGCGTTTATTCGTTAAATTGATACAAACGAAGCAGCAATTTTGAGAGCTGTTCCCCAGTATGAAGGTCAACTTTATCTATAAGCAACTTGGTGGGGTCTTAATTTGTGTTGCCCTTCGTGTTTGAGTTCCATTGGGACTTTCAAGTCATGTGTAATTTTTTGTTTTGAAAAAGTGATATAAAAAAATCATGTTATATACTAATAGTTATTTTTTAAAATATTTTTTATATAAAAACATATTAAAATAATATTTTTTTAAATTTATTTTTCACATCATTACATCCAAACAATTTGAAAATATTAAAAAAATTAATTTGAAGCAAATATTTTTTTTCAAAAATATTTGAAACAAACCAAATAAAACTAAATGTTATGGGGAAATTTAAATGAAATTAAATATTTATTAATGAAATTGAAAAAACATCAATGAATAAAATGATTAAAAAAATAATAATTAAGAGAATTAGCATCAAACTTGACTTAAAATTCCAATGAAAAAAAATGATCAAGGATGAAATTGAAAAAAAAAACAAATAAATCAAGAAAATAATTAAAAAAATAACAATTAAAAAAAAGATGATTAAATTTAATAAAAAAACTAACAAAATCAAATAATCAGAGATAAAATCAAAAATAAAATTCAATTAGAAACAATCAATATAAATAAAAAAATTATAATTAAAAAAAAAGATCGAATCAAAATAAAAAAAAATTAAAGACTGATATAATTTTTTATATGATCAATACGCAATATAAGAATGAGAAATAAGGAAAAGAATAGGAAAAAGAAAAAAAATCAATTAGCACTAAAGCAAACCACATTACTATACCAAGGGAGAAAAAGAGAATCTAGATGTATAAAATATCGGTTCTTATTTTTGCTGCCGAGTACTCTCTGCTTCATTGTATTTTCATGTTGCGAAGCTGTAATTATATTTAGTAATGGAATCAATGTCATTATTAAAAGTCACAAATGCCCTTGTTTGTATCAATTTGCCAGGGAAGCCTTTGTTCAAACTTCATCATGCATTTGTAAAATGTTGATTCAACCCCGAATTGGATTGCTAAATTTTTATATTATAAAATCTGTATAAAAGCATAAGAATATTTTTATTTCTTAAATGATTTTAAAATATCCTATAAAATTAATTTTTTTCCTTAAAAATTATAAAAAATGTAAGAGAATTTTCTATTTTTTATTCCATAAACATTTTCGAAGATTTCCTTGGGAAAATTATTATTTCTTAAACTTATTTGAATAATTGCCAATCATCTTACAATTTGAAGAAATTTAATCCAATTTTGTTGAATATATTAAATTTTGCAAACGTAGATTAAGATTTATAAGCGTTTATTCGTTAAATTGATACAAACGAAGCAGCAATTTTGAGAGCTGTTCCCCAGTATGAAGGTCAACTTTATCTAAAGCAGTAATTTTGAGAGCTATTCCCCAATATGAAGGTCAACTTTATCTATAAGCAATTTGGTGGGGTCTTAATTTGTGTTGCCTTTCGTGTTTGAGTTCCATTGGCACTTTCAAGTCATGTGTAATTTTTTGTTTTGAAAAAGTGATATAAAAAAATCATGTTATATATTCATAGTTATTTTTTAAAATATTTTTTATATAAAAACATATTAAAATAATATTTTTTTAAATTTATTTTTCACATCATTACATCCAAACAATTTGAAAATATTAAAAAAATTAATTTGAAGCAAATATTTTTTTTCAAAAATATTTGAAACAAACCAAATAAAACTAAATGTTATGGGGAAATTTAAATGAAATTAAATATTTATTAATGAAATTGAAAAAACATCAATGAATAAAATGATTAAAAAAATAATAATTAAGAGAATTAGCATCAAACTTGACTTAAAATTCCAATGAAAAAAAATGATCAAGGATGAAATTGAAAAAAAAAACAAATAAATCAAGAAAATAATTAAAAAAATAACAATTAAAAAAAAGATGATTAAATTTAATAAAAAAACTAACAAAATCAAATAATCAGAGATAAAATCAAAAATAAAATTCAATTAGAAACAATCAATATAAATAAAAAAATTATAATTAAAAAAAAAGATCGAATCAAAATAAAAAAAAATTAAAGACTGATATAATTTTTTATATGATCAATACGCAATATAAGAATGAGAAATAAGGAAAAGAATAGGAAAAAGAAAAAAAATCAATTAGCACTAAAGCAAACCACATTACTATACCAAGGGAGAAAAAGAGAATCTAGATGTATAAAATAATATGATAGAAATTTGATTTCAACCATTGCTAGCTACACGCGCCGTCAAAAAAGGTGAAATGACTGACAATAATTTTTTTGTGTGTATAAAATAAAAAATACCTCTATAACTAAATAATAATAATAAAAATAAATATTCTTATATAATTACAACCAAGTTATTATAAAAAGTCTAGAAAACTTCAATAGCAAGAGTAACGAAGCAATTCAACTATTCCTAAGATTATAAAAAAGAAATACTCATAGGAATAAATAACAATAATAAAAAAACATTAAAAAATAAAAATCTACCCCTTGAAATCAAGTCTAATAAATTTGCATAGTAAAAATATTTCTGTAATTTAATTATTTATGATGAAATTAAAATTATTATACACCACAATATAATAATGACACTATTATTTTAAAAAAAGAAGAAGATAGTATTGCCCCAAATAAATGAAGAACAATAAATTAGGGGCATTCAAAAACATTCTCCCTTCAAGTAAAGCTTTAAAAATTAAAAAATAAAAAGTATATATAGATAATATTACTGTATTCCTAGACAAATTTCACAATAGATTGGAATACAATTTAAAAGTGAAAAACAAAAGCGGTCTAGCATTTTAGTAACGTTGGATCATCCGTGCACCTGCAGCTCTGCTTATACCATCACATTCCTTTACGTGCTTAAAGCTCAAAGATTGCACTGTCCAAATTCCTCATTCAGATTTGGACAATTGTCGATGGAAAAGTACTGGAAAAATAAATAAATTTAATAATGGAAGTAAAAAGGCTATAAAACAGAATGGAGATTCAATATGAAGGCATTCAACTGAAAGAAGGAAAAAACTATAAGCATATTTCTGCACAGCGGAAGTACCGATCAACAATTCTTGAACTCTTTTCTATGTAGCAGACACGCATGCCAGCCATGTTCTGTACAGCACATGGCGGATAAGGTTATTAACCATAGCCAGATCAAGTTGCTGAGCTCAAACGACTGCCCCTTTGGTTTATGAAATCTCTGAAGGCATCTAGAGAATCCACTGAGCTCGCTGGAAACCCATGCTTGAATTTAGCACTAAGCAAAGCTGCTCTCTTCTTGACATCTTCGTCTGTCATTAGACACTCTATTCCCTTGATTATATCATCTTTCTCGATCGATTGTGAGAAATCATCAGAAATCATGCACCCAACCTTGAGATGCTTCACTATCAGTTTGGCATTATAGTCCTGGTCACCTCTGATAGGCCATGCTAAAATTGGGATACCAAGTCCAATAGCTTCCATGGTAGAATTCCATCCACAATGCGATAAAAATCCACCGACTGATGGATGGCTTAGTATCAACAGCTGTGGTGCCCATCCACGTATTATCATGCCTCTTTGACCTACTCTTTTGTCTAGATCACGAGGAAAATAATCTTCTTCAGTATCAGCACTAGGTAATCCTGGTGGTGGACCTGGTCTCCCCGAACCAGGTTGGATCACCCAAATAAATGGCCGGTTTAATGCTTCCAGTGCGTTTGCCAAATGCCGATTCTCCTCCATTTCAAGACCCACTTCACTTCCGAATGACACATATACTGCCGAACCAGGTGGTTTTGAATCCAACCATGCTATCACTTCCTCTTCGGTGACATTACACCGCCGGCTGGTTCGAATTTCGTGGTCATGAAGAAGTGAACCAGACGATTTCCAATATAGCTCGGGTAATAATGGACCAATATCCCAAACTGGTTTCTTAACTTGATCAACTAGATATTGAATAAATGGGTGCTCAAGATCATCACATGTATTGATCATATATGCAATCGAGCCCTTCACTTCCTCCAACCATGGTGGTGGTGCACCGGGTTTGGGTGGACCCATCATTTTAGAAGGGCCCACATCACCTGGTGGTCTAGGAAAACCACCCATTGGACCGGGTGGTCCGCCCAAGCCAGGTGGACCTCCTCTACCACCCGGAGGCCCGTGGGGCCTCCTCTTAAGGTCGGAGTGTGTAAGAGCCATTTCCTCCGGTAAACCATGAAGTAAACGGATCTCTCCAGGCTTCAAGTCATCCAGGTGGGCCTTCCACATGGCATACTCCATGGCTGCCGAGCACGCACCAGATGTAAAGAACCCAATGGTTGGAACCTCAAACTTTGCAAAAACTTCAGCAGTCCAGCTCATCATAACATCAACAATAACACAAGCGGGTTGTCTTGACACCGGGTTCAGTGATCGGGTTGAAATGAGGTTTTCAAGGCTTTGTGCCATCTGGTTGTGATGCTTGTGGGGAGGGAGAAGCGGGTCGGGTCCTGGATGCTGCTGCAAAGGTGGTGGAGAAGAGAGTAATTCAGCTACTTCAAGTAATGGATATTGGTGAATAGAGGAGGGGACAGCGGAGGAGAAGTTAGAGGGAATGATAAGGGTGGTTCTGAAGTTTCTTGATGCCACGTGTTTGCAAAGTTCCATACTTGGTAGGAGATGGCCCTGCCCAAAAAATGGAACAACCCATATCTCTTGAGTCATGACTGATAATCCTGGTTTCTTTTGTTTACCTGAAAATCTAACTCCTTCGCAGCTAGCTTTTTATAGAGGAAGAAGGAGAAGAAGACTTAATCAGAAAGAAATGGACTAACAAAGGATTGTTTTGACTGTTAGTTAAAACATGGTAGTTGGGAACGAGGCTGACTGTCTACCTGAGGTTTCTCAGAAGCCAACCGTGTCGGTGTTTTGGTTGAAAAATTTCAGACAAGGTAGTTTTAATTTTCTAAGGTGTAATCGTACGATCGTGGCTAGCTAGATCAATTCACGAGCAAGGAAGGGTGGATCAGACAAGATCAACTTTCGGACAATAGTTTTCACTTGCGCGAGTATATCTAGATATTAAAATGTTATTTTATTATTTTTCTTGTAAAAATATTATTTTTAAAAGATATTAAAATATTATTTAGTGTAATATATATATATATATATTTAATATTTTTAGAGTTATATTTTTTTTGTTTTATATAAAATTATCTTAATGTTATAATGAGTTTGACAATTTTATTCATATTAATTTAAATTATTTTTTTATTTTATTCTTTAATACCATGTTAATTAAAAATCAAACCATATTATATTATTACTACAATAATTATGTATCAAATATATTAAAATATAATTAGTTTTTATAAATAATTTTTATTATTAAATTGTATATAAAAAGATAAAAAACTATATTTATAAATTATTAAAAATATTATATTAACAATTAGCTATTATTTGGCTACTAGGAGAAATGCTGATAAACTGGGAAGTTAACAAATTAATGATAATTTTATATAATAATAATTTATTTATTTATTTTCGAAATATTTTTTGAAAAATATTGAATAATTGAATATCAGTGGATATTTAAAAAATAAAACATAATATTAGCAATATTTGCTGAACATTCTTATGTCTTCAAAAGCAATGCCACCCTTATTATCAAGTTACAACAAGAGGAGTGGGGGGGTAAATAATCGTTAATAAATTGGAAGAACAAGTTACGAGGAATCCAAATACAAAATATAACAAGCTTATTTACGGCTAAAGTTCACCTATCAATTATTTATAGCGTTCAGTATTACGAAATTTATTTTAACATCAAAATAACAACAAGCTTTGCTATAAAAAATATATTCGAATTTTTTTTAAAACATGCAAAATCAAACAGGCTTTAATTTCTGGTTAACCAAGTCACCGAAGGAATCGAACGCTGCCTCGGGGTTGCATTCTCAAATATTGACTTCATTCCTGCCATCCGATCACGCATCTCTTCATCACCCATAAGTCTCTCCAATCCCTTGACTATATCATCCCTTTTGACCATTTCTGACAAATCATCAGCCACTCTATACCCCCATCTTCAGATAATTAACTACCAGCTTGGCATTGTAGTATTGGTCGCCTCTAATGGGCCATGCCAAAAGAGGGAACCCCCGTCCGATCGCTTCCATCGTGGAATTCCATCCACAGTGTGATAAAAACCCACCCGTTGATTCATGACTCAGTATCATCAATTGTGGTGCCCACCCATATATTATCAAACCTCTATTTCCAACTCTTTTCTGCAAACCCGGATCGGGACGATGGTCCTTGTCGTGTTGAACAACCCAAATAAACGGTCGGCTCCAATCTTCTAAAGCATCTGCCAGTTGCTTAAATTCATCAACTGACCCACGTGGCTTTGTATCCAGCCATTGGATCACTTCTTGTTCCCTCAAATTTGACCCACCCTCTTGCTCTCTAATCACAGGATCGCTGATCATACTATGACGATTGCCAATACTTCTCGGGTAACAGTGGGCCCACACCCCATGTCCGCATCCCCATTTGACTCTCCATGTATTTAATAAATGGACCATCAAGATCATCGCACGTGTTAAACATCAAACCCACCGACCCTTCAACTTCTGAGACCCATGGAGGTTTGTCACCCGGCTCTGGGGGGCCGCCTCCACCAGGTATCCGGCCCAGCCCGCCTGTGGGCCCAAGTGCTTTTCTTTTGAGATCCCAATAAGTGATGGCCATTTCTTCCGGTAGCCCGGGAACTAGACGGGTCTCACCAGCCTGGACCTTCCACGCACCCCACTCCATGGCAGCAGCACTCGCGCCAAAAGTAAACAACCCAATTACCGGAACACTGAATTTCCGGAAAACTTGTCCCGTCCAGCCCAACTGGAAATCAATGATGGCACAGATTGGCAGGGGCAAATCAGGAACCCCGCACCTGTTGGAGAGGTGGGCACGGAGGTCCTCGGCAGCTTGTGGCTTAAGAGGTCGGATCCAGGTAATGGTCGAGATGAGGGTGCGATTTGGGCGATGGTGGCCAGTGGGTTTTGACCGAAAGAGGGAGGAATGGCAGAGGAGAGGGTAGAAGAGAGAACGAGGGTAGTGTGGTAATTGCGTTTATTGAGGAGGTTGCAGAGGTGCATAGATATCACGTCCCATTCCCATGTTTTATTTAGTGAAAGCTGTCTGGTTTTGTTTTGTTGGGAATCTAGATACCTAATGCATGCTATCGGAGAGGAGAGGAGAGGAGAATAGAAGCCAGAGCTAATGAATGGTGACGGGACTGGAGGAATTATTGAGATGTAGACTGTGACTGCAAAGTTCGAAGCCCTCAGTTTGCAACTTGTACTTGCCTGCCTAGCTAGCTAACATGAGTGGATTTGATTTTACTATATTTAAACAAATACAAAAACATATATTTATTTATTATTTGAATTTGGTTTTTTAATGTTAATGACATGTGTGAATTTATCTTTAGGTGTTTATTTTGAAATATCCTTTTATGATGCAGCAAGCAAATTTGGGTTGGATCTATACCAAGCCATATAAGCCCATCAAGTATGAGTGATGTACTTTAAATTCGTTTTGAAAATGATCAAGAATGGGCCAAACCCAATTAATTTTATTTTTTACCATCCGCTCATTCTAATTCCCATATTTGGATTAGGCTTTATTATCGGAATTAAATTCCAAATCATTTCCTTAGATCCTAATAACATGTTATTAGTACGAAGGAATTTATCTTAGATTAAATATTTTAGGATATTTTCATACCTTTTTTAGCATAATTAACATTTTATCTGAATTTCTTAAATACTAGATAAGATTTTTAGTTATTATAAAATCAAATAATAACTTTTTTTAATCTATTCTATTAATCATAATTAGTTTATTGAGATGGAATAAATATTTTTTTTATAATTAAAATCATCAAAATTCTTATAAATACTTGTTTTGATTGTTATTGAATTAAATTAAAATAGATTTTAAAAATGACTTTGCAATAACGTACGTGTATGTATAAAATAAATAATCAAGGTGTGTGCATATGTGTGTTTGCATATTACTCTTTTATTTTATATTAAATGATAAATATTGCTTGACCAAAAATTGCTTTGAAGTAACATACATGTATGAATAAAATAAATAATCAAGGTGTGCGCAAATGTGTGTTTGCATATTACTCTTTTGTTTTATATTAAATGATAAATATTGCTTGACTAATAATACTCAAATGAATAACTAAAATCCAATGAATAGAATATGAATATTTATGTTTTTCTATCCAACTAATAAGGGTAAAAATATACTAGAAACCCGATTCGTATATACTCATTGTCATTTCTAATTAGTTTACTTAAGCAATCAGCACATGCTTGTGCAATGTAAGAATTTGTTGCTAACTTAGGTTATTTGCTATTGAAAGTGTGTGTGTATTCTTTTATATTATATTAAATGATTAAAAATAGTTGAGTAATGGATACTTGAATAGATATCTAAAACCTAAAGAATACAATATAAATATCTAAATTTTTTATCTAATTGATAAATATAGGGTATGGATTTACTAGAGAACTGACGCATAAGTATTGATTGTCATTCCTAATTACCAAACTTAAGTAATTTTTAGTTGATCTAAATTATAATTTCATTCATATATAAATATCTTAAAATAAATTCTCAAACTAAACAAGATAAATTGGAAATAATCTAAACATAACACTAGCGATTAATAAAAGAAAATAAAATAAAAATACTTATCTATTTCAGCACGAGCACATGGCTAGTAACCTTACAATTGAACAATGTATGTATGAAAGTAAATAACAATAGCAATACTTAATTGGATGGTAAGCGATGTGTTAAAAGGGACAAAGTGAAGATTTTGCAAATCCATGGTGATCAAAACCTGCCTTTTGCAAATTATTATTAACCCAAACTTAATCGACTCATACCCTGATCGAGATGATAGGTAATTACTTATCTAATAAATAATAAATATAATATAAATATTGTTAAATTCAATATGAATTCCAAAACAAACTCCTGTTATGATACACGCACCCTAAATATATATTACTTTTTTATTTCTGTTATGATACACAAACCCTAAATATATATTACTTTTTAAATGATAAATAATACTCGAGTAATTGATGCTCATATAGATTCAAGAAATTCAATGAATAAGATATAAATATCTAAGTTTCTTATCTAGTTAATAATAAATATTGTATGAGTATAGCAAAAACCTAACAAGCAAATACTCATTTGTCATCTCTAATTATTATACTTAAGATATATATATATATATATATATATATATATATATCACCATATGTTTCTGTGAGAATTTATTGCTAACTGAGTTTATTCACCATTGAGATTATTTTAAGTTGATCTAAATTATAATTTTGTTTATATATAAATATTTTAAAATTCTCAAACTAAACAAAATAGATGGAAAATAATTTAACACAACACTAGCTAAGAATACACAAAAAATAAATAAATAAAAACATATTCAGCACAGCTCATTAAAAACAATGATAATTAAAATCCGATAAGTACTAGAAAATCGCATTTGGTCCCATAAAAGAATGATAAAGAATATTTTTTTATTTAAGCTCTTTAATTTGTTTTTAATCCTCTCATTTTTATCCCTCACTTCCTTGTATTTTTTTTTTTTTGCACCAACATATAGATATATGTGAAGATATACACACAAATCCCCTGCAACATAATCAAATTAATTATTTAAACATGAGCATGAAAAAACTAACTAGAATATGCTTGGAAATTTTACTGGGTAGTATTTATTATTGTAGTAATGGTTGTTTTTTAAAGTTTTTTATTTAAAAATATATTAAAATAATATTTTTAATTTTTAATTTTTTTTATATGAATAAATTAAAATAATTTTAAAATAAAAAAATAATTAAAAAACTTAATTTTTTTTTTAAATA